GCCCAACAAGTGCCCAGCGAGTGTCCAGCATGCTTGACTGCCTCATTCAACTTGTTGCTGGAGAGGGTTGGCAGTCCGGCTCGTCGTGTTTTTCTTCGCCTCGCAATATCCAATATGAGTTGCTGGGTGCTGGGTTTGGGCAAGCCACGCTTGCTGACCGCCAAGCTTCAGCTTCTGCGGGCGCAGAGATGCGCAGAGGCTTTTTGTTTTTTGGATTTGTCGCTCGAACCAGCAAATCCTCAGGAGACCACTGCACTGGAGTCTCAAGTTGTGGCTGTCAGTGCCTGAACTGTGGAAAGTGCAAGTGGCACCTTTCTCGGCGCGAGCACGAAAGTTCTGTTTCGTCTTGGTTAAGTGAGCTGACTTGCCATGTTAGATCCGAAGCTTTCCCAAGCAGCTGTCTGTGCCTGAGCGACTGGTTCTCGAACCAGATCACCCCATTCGCTGCACTCTCCGCTTTTCCGGCCTTGCCATTTGCGTGCATCCGCACCACACAATTTAGACCATGTCTTTTGCTTGGAATGTCTTTCATGTGGCTTGGGCGCACGTCACCATAGGTACGACCAAGAATGCCGCGACACATGAGCCTGCTTGCTTGTCAGTCAGATAGCAGAGGATTCGTTGCATACAAGGGTCAGAGATAACAAGAAGCGGCCGAACCGCGGAAACAGCGGCTCAAAGCTCGCAAGCACCCACTGCAGGCACGTCTGAAGCACGACACAGCCAAATACATACAGCGTGGGACCGCCGGGTCTTTAAGGAAGGCAGGTCATTGTGTCACACGTCCGATCCCGACAGCCCCGGCCGGAAGGCAAGCGCCGTGGAAGGCGTGGCCGAGCAGCTGAGCGGCTCGCGGGAGCCGAAGGCTGTGTTTTCAGCTTTGTTGCCCTGGCAATGCCGGATCATCTGCACAAGCTTTTTACCCTCATGTGCTTTCAATGTCCCATGCCTGTTGCTTCCAACGTATGGCTCCCGCTCCCGCCCGGTTTGAAGGTTGCTCGCGTGCAGACTTGTTTGCTCTACTTTGTGCGGGCAGGTGCTTAGGCTTTGTCGTGCGTGACCAATGTCCAGAGCGCCCGCAGCACCCAAGTCTCAAGTCGCTGCTGTTTGAGGCGTCAGCTCGAGCTGCAGTGGCTCACCACGGCATTGCAGTGCGGGTGTGTGACCTGTATCAAGCAGTGACGAAATGCTAACTGGCACAATATGCTGGGCATCAGCGGGTATCCGGCCTGCATATCAGCAAAATCGTGCGCCAGAGCGCTTAGCTCTGGTATATCCTCAATGCGGCTTGCAGGTAGCTGTTTGCGACGGGTGTTCGTGTTGGGTCTTGTCGGGTGTGACGCTTGAGTGGTGTTATTTGTTTGCCGCTCAAGCAAACATGTCTAGAGGTGGACACATGAACAAACAAGCTAGAAGAGTCGACTGGTGCCTTTCCGGCCTTGCCAGTCAATCCGTAAAGGGCACAGTGCCGGTGCGTGACCTGTAGCAAGCAGTGACGCAATGTTATCGCAAGTTGATGCAAGTCTCTTTCCAGTGGGCGCGTAGGGAGCCGAGTGATGCGCCTGAGATTGGCGTTCCCGCTGCGTCGTAATGTTTGAAACTGCCACCAAACCGCCGCCCTGATGCTCAGGGCCACAGCATGCGCGCTATTCTGACTAAAGGCCCAGAGCAACACGATGAAATCCTTGAAAAGCTTTCCGGCTTTCCAATCGTGTCTCTCAAGGCAGGCGGGACATTGCACCCTAGTATTTTGAGCGTGCAACCGGCAAAAGGAGCGTGCTAGTGTTGCCCAGCGTGGTATCAGGGTACAGCAAGACGTTCATGGCCGACACGCAATGAAGCCGAAACGCAACGCACACATGGGTGTGTGTTGTTTGTGTGTGTGTGTTTCTTGAGGGCATCCATTTTTAGGTTGTTCAAGGGAAGCCAATGTCAAAAACCACCTTGATTTTTGTTTTTTGTTTTAGGAGGGGTATTTCCTCAAATAGACGGTAAGAGTTCAGGCCGGGTTAGATTGAGGGGTTCGCGCTCAAAGTGCTGGTCCTGTGCTTAAAAAGTTATCTTCGACGCAACAGTCTCGCGCGGTTCGCGCTGGTGCGTGCGCTCTTGGACGTGCCGCGCGGAGGTTCGCGCTATGTTTTTTCAGGAAGCCTCTCGCGATACGCGTTTTTTGGCACTTTTTAAGGAAGCCTCAGGCGCAGGGTGGTTTTTCACGACCCCACGTATTTACACCCGTAAAAGTATAAAAGTAAAGCTCGAAACGAAGTACAGTCAAAAGGAAGTTACACATAGCGTGGTCCGCGCAGCCGTCGATGCTTCGAAAGTGCGCTGCCCGCAGTCGCCGCTGCTGCGGAAGCGCGAGTCATCTGCAGAGCTTGGGGCGCAGCCAGTCAGGCAGGGCCTCAGCCTGGCGCGCGCGGGTTTTCCCGAAGGCTGGCGACGCAGGTGCTGCTGGCGATGTTGCTGACGCGTCGCGGAATCATCCCCCTAGAAATGGAGCCAGAAGGTGGCAAAGAGAAAACTTGCGCGCTCCAGGTTGCAGCGCGCAGGTTTTATGCTGGTGATGCTGGCGATGTTGCTGATGTGCGTGTGATGATGCTCGAATCCATGTCGAGCCCGGAACAGCCGACTCATTCAAGAGGCCTCCCTGAAAGCTCAACCGAACACTTGGTTTCCTTGGGCCTCTTTGTCGCAATGTTGTTCGTGCTGCTGGACACCCCTTTACTCAACATCTCACGACTTATTTTTACACGGCTTCTCTGCTCGTTGACCTTCCGTTGTCCTCGCAGCCAGTCACTTGCACAGAGGTGTGACGCATCATGTCCTGTGGGAAAAAATGTCGTCTCAGCGCGTCACTCGGTCAAGGTCCTTGACATCGTACACGATGTTGAGCTCCTGCGGCGCGCGAGTGATGTTTGACAAGGGGCGCGCAAACCGTGAGAAGTAAGATAGCGACGCAGCTCTGCCTGACCCAGCAGAGCGTGCAAACAAGTCACGAGGCTTGGCTCCCCGCTGCAACAGTGAGGCTGCCCAAGATGGCGCGGAGGGACTGGCGCCGGAGGCCGCGCTCGTGGAGCCTCCGCCAGGCGCAGCAGGCACGAAACCGCCCTAGGCGCAGAAGCCGTGGAGCCTCCGCCCGGCGCAGCAGCCGCAAGCTGCTGCCCGCGTGGGCGGACATTGCCTCTAGCAAGAAAACGGACGGGTGTTCCGTCGACCCCCTGCTCAGAGCACAACTTGATACGCTTTCCTCTTCCTTTGCTATGCGTTGAGGACAGATGTACTGCCCCACATAGGCAGTGCCGATGTGTTCGCTCTGAGATACGGGGGCCACCGATGGTATTACATTTTCCAATGAGGGTGATTTCAATCTACTGCGCTGCAGAATTGCAGTAATTTTGAGCGTCTCACGACGTCTCACGACTCGAGATTTCGCAAGATAGAACAAATTCGAGCTGGCACGGTGTGTATGTGGATGCATAATGGTGGACCCAGTGTGTAATTTTGAAGCCGCAGTTTCAACGCCTCTGCGCAGATGCCTCAGAATGAGGCATACTGCGTTGGGGGTGTGAATAGGTCACGGGTCACTGAAGCACTGGTGACACTCACTCACAGTCGCTCACATTCACTCACATTCATCAAATTGAACCACATTCACTCAGATTGAATCATATTCACTCACAGACCCAGTCATATTCACTGACAGTCGCTCACATTCAGTCACACAGTGGCTCACGTTCACAGTCGCTCATATTCACATTCACTCAGATTCAGTCGCATTCGCTCACAGTCGCTCACATTCACTCACTCACATTCACTCACAGTTGTTCACATCTCACACTCACTCACATTCACCCAGATTTAATCACATTCACTCAGTCGCTCACATTCACTCACATTCACCCAGATTCAGGCACATTCACTCACAGCCCTCGCTCACATTCACTCACATTCACCCAGATTCAGGCACATTCACTCACAGCCCTCGCTCACACATTCACCCAGATTCAGTCACATTCGCTCTCAGTCATTCACATTCAACTCTGTCACATTCACTCACATTCAACTCTGTCACATTCACTCACAGTCGCCCACATTCACTCACACTCTCACATTCACTCACATTCACTCACATTCACCCAGATTCAGTCACACTCGCTCGCATTCACTCAGATTTTGTCACATTCACTCACAGTCGCTCAGATTCACCAACCATTGGCCCAGACTCAGTCATATTCACTCACAGTCGCTCACATTCAGTCACATTCACTCACAGTCGTTTACATTCCCTCACAGTCACTCTCTCACATTCGCTCAGATGCAGTCACACTCACTCACTCGCTCACATTCACAAACATTGGCCCAGATTCAGTCACATTCACTCACACTCGCTCATTCACACACATGTCGCCATTTGGCTCAAGCAATGCCTATATCATTTCACAACAGTATCGTGATTGGTGGCGGCATAGACACGAAAGATCGACCTACGGAGAGGGTACTGTTTCGAGGATAATCGGGGTACCGTGACCTTTCCCAGGGGCAACATAACCACTGTTGCCGGGGTACCGAAGAAACCCCTCGCCACTTTTGTTGGCTGGTTTCCAAAAAAGAACAAAACTTATTACTGTATATTGGCTGCCTCCGACAGCAGTGTCAAAGAGAGCAACGTTTTGCAATCAGATTGTTCACATGCGAGTGCAAGTTCTCGGTATGGGGGGACTCATTCGAATGCTTCGGGGACAATGATCACTTGCTATCGCAGCTTTGTCAAGCATTGATTTACAAATGAATGCATGCAGCATGAAGGCCAGGCTACTAAACATGTGTTGCATGGTAGAGCCAAGAAACGCAGTGGGATGTTCAAATGTGCAAGGGTAGCCATGCACCGAGTTTCACTGAGTGTGAGACAGGGCATTGATTGCTTGTGATGCCGGATCCAGATGCCAGCGCGGCCATGCCTTTGCGGCTGGCGCGGCCTGATCGGTCTGTTTGTGGGCGCTGCCATAGTATTCTTTGTCGTCAATGTGAGATGCTCAGCCATGGTCTTTGTGTGAAGCGTGACTAGCAATGAAACCACATCACTCATCATGCATGTTGTTCCTTGGGGATCATTTGTTGGTTGAGCTCGCTCCGCCATGCACAAGCCGCTCACATTCTTTGCAAAGGAAGGCCACAAACAACACGCAAATGAGAAACAAACAGCTGGAGCGACGCTTCCTATTTGAAGCGATGCAGGGGATACCAGGCATGGTGGGCACGCAGAGGTTCCTGATTCGAAGACCCAGGCATAGTATTGCATTCAAGTCGGGTTGCGCTCATCAAAATGAGTTCATGCGACGATGCTATTATGGGAATCAGACAGGCGTCCAAATGACCCAAAACACCACGTAGCCCAAAGCAAAAATGAACCAAAACCGCTCAGCTGAATGAGCACAAGCTGAGCCAGGACTGATTTAAATGGTGGACTGCAAAATCCAGTGGGGGGACCTCGGTCAAACGCCGGCAAAACACCCGCACAAAATGCAGGTTGCAGACCGAACACCTTTTGGTTTTCATAACAAATCCGGAGGAAGCCCGTTCTGAGCTCCTGGCTTTTGCGTTCTTTCAGATTACTGAATGCAGGCCGGCACAGCAAAGAAAGTAAAATAGATGTTTCAACAGCAACACCAAAGCATAGATATTGTAAACACATATTCGTAGAAGATGTAAAGACTTTGACATCCAGGAAAGGACTGCCAATATCGATAATATCAACAACAGCAATAGCAACAGCAATGGCAACAGCAATAGTAATAGCAATAGTAATAGCAATAGCCGTACCAGTATCAATACCAATACCGGTACCGATACAAGTAACACTAACACTAACAGTAATAATAACAAGAAAAAAGGAGCGCAACGACAACCACCGCAACAACAACGACAATAACGATGATGACAAACATGGAAAACCAATGACGATAACAATAAACTCTTAACAAATGTATGGCTCTTAGGATTTGGGTTTGTTTTCCATAGGAGACTCATACATGTGTGGTGCCTCAGTTCAGGTCTGTGTGCGTTTGTTTCTTTGCCACAGACGTCCAAGGTGAAAGTGCAACGAGATGGTATGCGTGGCTGCATTTACAGCGTCACATGAAGTTTCAGCGTGTGGAAGTTCTTCTTCTGCGTCAACACATCAGGCCAAGCAAATCTCCTGTTCGGATGTTTGAGGCACCTCTGACGCGGGGACAGCTATGCAGGTGTGCTTTGGATCAACGGACGGCTCCATGTTAACGATTGAACATCATGACTGTTGCCTGTTCTGGGCACAGGCAGACTTCGCCGCCAACCTCAAGCCTGCCAGGCCCTCAACTGCACACTCCGCTACTGTCCCGTGCCTTCTCCAGGGCGACTTGCAATCGAGTGATGCGCTACTAAGGCGCCCCGCCTTGCGTGCCTGGCGCTGATTTGCAACGTTGGCGCAAGCGAAGAAATTCTAATTCGGGCCCAGTCCTTGGCAATGCTGCGCAAAGTTTGGTGTTTACACCCCACAGTGCAATCTGACAGATTTACGGTTGGACATGGTTGGACCTAATTGCTCGCCTTGAGGCTCGGCACCTGAGCAAAATGCAGCATTATGAATTCCAGCGCCGGTATCTGATTTTTGAGACTCACCAATGACTGGTTGGTTTTGTAGCAACCGTAGCAGTTCGTTGCCTGTTGAATGCAATGTTATAAACACATTCTTTGCACTTTCACCATGTCTAGTCGACAATTTTGCAAGCTGAGGATACCAAAGGCCTGGTTTGCTTTCTGACAGAATGCGCGAACAATGATTCCAGGGAACCGCTTTGATGCGGTGGCGGGCTGTTTTTTTTCCCAGTGCTTGCAGGTCGCGCAGCTTCACTTCCATCTCAATCAGCTGCTGATGCACTGATCCAAGAAAAAGTTATTGATGCATGGCGGACTGTGGACTATTCTCAATCCTACAAAGCTAGCGGCTTGGACAAGTTGCAGACGTGATTTTGTGGCCCTCATGAACCTCCGACAGTATGCTTGAGCCGGCCCGGCGGGATTTTGTCGGGATTTTCATGGTCCGCCCAGAACTAAGGCGTGAACAAAACTGCTGATTGGGATATGGGAATTGGCACTCGCCAGTTTCATGGCCATGGTGTATCTTTCGACGATGCCCAAACTGACGATTTTCAGCTGGCGTACTATTTTGCAGTGGATCAGTGTGAAGCTGCTTACATTGTAGTCTTTGAGTTAGATCAGAGCCTCGGCTTGTATGGAGGACCAAAACATGCTGGTTGTGGGGGGTTATGGGTTGTCGGTTTCAGAGTCGGTGTGCGTGTGCAAGGATTCTGTATTCTGACGAGGATGTTTCTTGGGTGGAGGACTCTTGCTTCACAATTGACTGGATGCAAATGGAGAAGAAGTAAATTCATCTGACGGGTGTTGCACATCCGTGAGGATGCGATTCAAGTCCTCCGCATGAATGAAGGCCTGATCCTGGTGAGTCCATCTTTTCCGGGTGTTTCAACACGGAAGATCCGGCAGCGGCCCACTACCAGGCAAGGATACATGGGGGTTGGGTGAAGCAAGCCAGGCGGCATATGCATTTTGTGCCCAAGACCCAGAAAGGAAAGATGGCTCCTCCTGTTGGTTTCCCCTTGATTGAATCGGACCCCCACGCAGTTAAGCTGTGACTGCCTCGAGGCCAATCCCAAAGAGCTACTCGGATGGGCTGCATGGCCCAGCGACGGAGGATACGACCTGCCAGCACCCCTTCACATTACCAGGCTCCTCTTGGCAAGTCGACTCATTTTGAGGAAATTCGCATCTTTTTCGGGGCTGGGGGTTTGTCAAATGGACGCTGAAGCCAGGGTGTGAAAAAGGTAAGTTTGACGCCCTCATTTCCCACAATCTTCCCTTTGTGGGACACAGTGTGGCGTAGGCTTGCTCAGCCTGCTCGCTTTTCAGGCCGGGCGGCCTTGCTGGACATTCAGCGCTACAAACAATTGCCCTCCCGCAACCAAGTCAAGGAACACCGCTGTGGCGGCCAACTTGTGCGAGGCTGGGTGACTGACGGTACTGGGGCGTTCAAGGCAGTTGCGTCAGAATCCCAGGCAAGCCATGCAAGTCGCTGCCGCGACCTGCCTGAACGATCAGTGCCGTGTATCTGATTTCCCAAGCATTCACAGTCAGACCCAAGATCCTGGCACGTGCACACGTGCACTGTTGACTAAAAGGCACACTCAAGGCCAGTTGGTCAATGTCACACGTCAATGCGTGAGCATGGCCGAGGTTCGTTAGATCCTGTGGTGGCATGAGGACTTGGGAAGCAGCGCTGGAGTGTGCCCTGCGCAGAGTGTTGAACGGGATCTGGTACTGACGCAAACTTGGCCGCCGCTGATGATCCGGTCAAGCGGTGGCCATTTGTCCTTCAGTTGGACCTGGATCCGAGGTGTGATTTGCAATGGTGAGGGCTGGCGTCAGGCGCGGGCAAGGTTGAGGCTCATAGAGTCATAGATGTTGCAAGCGTCGTTTGCCGAAGAGCAATCCCAACACATAGACGACCGCGTTTTCCGAAATCTGCGCAAGGCCATCTATGCTCCAAATACCAATTATGCTCACGAAGATTAGCCATGCATCGCCAGGGCCACCTGCGGGACTGGCAGCGCGCCTGGTCCCAGCACGCCCCCCTCACCAGCGTGAGGCAGGCCTCTGGCCCGAGAGAAACAAGTCCAATGCTTTGGGTTTGAAGTCCGAGAGAGAGATGGAAAAGAGAGGTTTTCTAAATGTGCTGTTGCCGGATGCGTGTGAGATGCTGTGGGAACCAACCAGAAACAAACTGTTTGACAGCGTTTTGCTTCCACACCAATTCTTTCACTCCCTGCACAGTTGCATTTGAAATGCCAATAGAAAGCAGGGGACAAGTCCAAGCAAGTGAATGCTGCATGCCGGCAGTCAGTGGCGTACACATGGAATGCACATAGATGTTTGAGCAGCCATGCTGGATATGCCATTCGGTGGCGCACATTATTGTTGTGAATGCCGTGATCATTTTCTGGCTTGCAATCACAAAGTGTGTTGTGCTAAGGGCTGCGTTCGACCCATTACTCGCATCTCTGACTTTGCAGGCATGATCTGGCAAAATTGAAGTCAGATGTCTGGACCTCAACCGCTTTGTCGGAACATGTGTGAGTCGGATGATATCATCTAAAGACATGCTTCTCAGACCTCAGCAGTTTTGAGCCCGTACCAAGATAGCTGCCATTGAGCAGGGCAGGCCGCCCGCGGTGATGGGCCCGGAGTACAAGGGGCTAGCAGAGTTAGAGAGAATCGTGACTTAGAGTTGAAAAGAGAGGTGTGCAGGTGCGCGCCCCCTCCAAAGCCCCCGAAATGCACACGGAGTCGCAATGGCGAGCAGCCGTTCTGACATCGAACGTGCGGGTCAAGCTTGATGAAAGCGAGAGGTGGGATGTTTGACCAAATCGTGCAATGTAGCGCCCAATTTGCCACGCGTGGCCCTACTCAGTCAGTCCTTCAAACCATGGAAGCGGATGCACACTCGTAGGCCAAGCCGTGAACAGCATTGGCGGAGAGACTGTCCAGCTCAAGTTTCACTTACATGGGCAATGGAATCGTGCTTCTTCTCCGATGCAACGTGTTAGCTCTGGCTTTTCTGTACCTTGCCCTGTCTTATGTGGTCATATAATATTGTCATATTCTGCCAAGAATACTGCACATGTGGTAGGAGTTTCAATTCTGTTAGGATCGCCGGCTCAGCCAACACCTGCCAGGAAGAGGCAGGAAGTTTGGGAAGAGGAGGATGTTGCGGCTCATTTGCTGGGGTTTGTTTATGCCCTAGCAGAGCACCTCCCGAGCAGAAAATCCAACCCCGAAATACGGCTAGGTCTGCAAAGAGGAGACCGAGGCCGAGGCCGTTTGCCTGGCCGTGATTGCCAGGCACGAGCACAGCCGGGAGATTTCGTCACGGGTGGCTTGCCTGCAGCTTTGGCATCGGACGGAGACCTGTGGCAATGGTGCCATGGTGCGTTGGCTTCATTGTCACGTGTTGTCATTCATTCTTCGTCACACACACACACACACAAAAAGAAGAGATTAAGAGACATGACTATTGCAAACTTGCAACCAAACACTCATATTGGTGACTTGGTACAAATGCCCAAGGCTTCAAAGGTGAATCAAGCTGCACAAGTGCCACGGGTAGAGCACGATTTCCCCCTGGACGATGATCCTAAATGGTGGGCGTTGTCCCAAAAACTCACTTGCCAGAGCTACGCTGCGACACAACACGTTCGTGGCAGATTGCCCTTGCTAGCTCTCTGGCATCAAAGATGCTAGCGGCTTGCAACTTGTCTTTGTGCACTGCCGCCTTGCAATCTGGAAACAAATGCAAGTCGGCAATTCAAGCGCAGAAGAGATGGCGGCTCAGGTCAAGCACATTCTGAAGCACCAGCACTTCAACTTTGTGCGTACTTTGCTTGTCATAGACTCTGGCGATGAACTGCCTCCAACCTTTGTAGTGGCTTGGAGTTGAATGCAACAGCTAGATTTGAATGCAAGCTGTAAACACGGCACGCGTACGTTGTATGTTTTTGCTCTTGGGCTTCATTCTAGGCTCGCGTGCAGAAGCTGGTCTCTAAGGGCTTTGTGGACGATTGGCTGCAGGTGAACTACAGCCAGGAGTTTGCTGGTGGCAAATCCATGTACTCAGGGTGTGCAGAGTGGGTACTGGGATTTTGCTCCTAGACGTGCTTCAAACAAACTCATGGGACTTGTGGGGCCCGCTCACCCAGATGTTTGGAGATAACGCCAAGATTTCAGAAGGTGGCAACCTCTTGCAATGACATTGTCCCGCGTGCCCAAGGTATGTGCAGGAGGTGAACCGAACCGCCAACTTTGATCCGGAAGAGCATCCGCCAATGGAAGGATGGAAGGAGTGATCCAGATACTGGTCTTGTGCCTTGCATGTGCTGCGCCTTGTTACTGAAGTGAGGAGCGCCGGTCGTCTGTGGCATACAGAGAGTTTAACGAGGACTACGAAGAGGAGGTGCCATATCGATGCAATGACGTGGGTGCAGTGTTGATCAACTGCAACATGAAGCGTTTGCCACAGATCATGCATGACTGACTGCATTTGTACGTAGGTGCAGTTGGCACACTATTTTGCCATTGACCAGTGCCAGGAAAGCCGCTTGGTCTTGTGATCAGCTTCTCTGCTTGCGAGTCATCATGGCGACCGGCACAGCTCTTCGAACGTGCGCGCACCGACAAAAACTGAACTGAGCCAAGCATGTTCATACTCTTTGGTACCTGATCTGCGTGTTTCTCAGGATACCTGGTCATGATGGATGTCGAGGTTTTATGGATGAGCCAGCCAAAGTTCTCCTGGGTAAGCGCAGGCACGTTCATTCCAACGCCTTTCTTGTCGAGCAATTGCGTTTTCTGTTTTGCCTGAGTGCTCCAACCAAATGTAACGTTTGGTCGCGTTTGCAGCACAGCGCCTTTTCAAAGTGCTGTTTCCGCAGCAAGCGCAAGCTTCACTCGTGGTCATTTGGCAACATGACACGTCTAAACATCATGTGAGTTCCCTTCTTAAGATTCTTAACCCTATCTGGGTGTTCAGATGAGTCCCTCAAAAAAATGCTTTGCACGCGAGGCCTTCAGCTGCTGCGGCGCAATCCCGGGCTGGTGCTGGTCATGCCTGCCTTCCCTGGGGTCCAGAGGCGGAACATCCGCGGCTCGACCGGTGTGCGGGTTTTGGGGGGCGGTGCTGAATCCAACTGCGAATGTTAGATTGGGAACGTGTCAAGCTTTGGGGTGCGGTTTTTTTCTTCCTCAGATAGCATGAACGCGGGGAAAGTGAGATTGACGGAAGGGTGCTGGTGCATGCTGGTTTGGGTGACGACGCGGGCATGCTGCTTTATGGTGCGGCGCAAAATGTGCGAGATTGACGGCATGCTGCGAGGGAGTTTTGGCGAGATTGACGGCCGGGTGCCAGGGGGCATCAGTTTGGGGTGCTGCTCCAGGTGCCTTTTTGGGAGTGCTGTTCGGGGTGCTGTTGGAGGTGCGGGGTGATGGTGCGGCAGGGATTGACGGCAAGGTGCTACTTCAGGGTGGGTGCTGTTTGGGGGGGCTGTTTGGGGGTGCTGTTGGCGGTGCTGGTGAGGGTGCGGGCGCATTTTTTCAAGTTTGACGGCGGTTTGGGGTGCTGATGCAGGTGCTGTTTTGGGGTGCTGTTCGGGTTGCGCGATTGACGGCTGGGTGCTCGCAGGGGGCGAAGTGACTTTCAGAAAACAAACTCGAAATTCAGACAAACAAGATTCAGAAACAGATGCGTGAAAGTCAGAAATCAGAAGTTGTTGCGCGGGTTTATCCATTTTAGGCTTGGTGTTCGGTTGGTTTAGTCCTTTTAGAGTTTTTCTAGGAATTCCGGTGGTGAGTTACGGGTTGGTTAGGGTGGTTTCGGACTGGTTTTAGGTCAGGACGGCTGGCGCTGGCGAGGTGCGGTTGGATAGTGGGGATTGGGATGGTTGGGGAGGGTCGAGATGGTTGGGAGGGTCGGGGTGGTTATGGTTGGGATGGCTGGGACGGTCGATATGGTTGGAGTGCTGGATGCAGCAATGCGGGCCTGAACGTTGGCCCAATTTCGCATTTGTTTCCCGCCGAATTTCACAAAGCCGGCCAAGTGCGCATTCTCGTTGGCGGAATTTCACAGTTTCACATCAACCGTGCTGCTCGGGTGCTGTGATTGCGCCGTTGCTGTTTGGTGACGGCGTGGGCTGGGTGGGTCCTAGCTGCCTGTTGTGCTGGTCTGTGCGCTGGTCACTTTGGGAGTCACGGTGGTCAGAGTGCTGGTGTTGTGTGCTTCAAGTCCTGTGGCTGGCAGTGCTAGATTTGCGATGCAAGGTGGTGAGTGCTGGTAAGGGTTTAGTTTGGTGCGCTCTCATGGCGCGCTGGTCAAAGTGCTTCAGGGTGCGGTTTGGTATTCTCAGGGTGGCTTCTGGCGGTTCTTGCTTGGCGATCCTGGTCAAACGTGCTGTAGGACGCTGCCTGTGCTTATGCGTAGCGCTTCGCAGTGCTATCGAATCATCATGACGCTGTCAATCTGATGCTATTGAACTTATTAGGACGCGTTTCTGCTTACGTGTAGCACGTTGTGGTTCGTGGCCGTTGTATCATCAAATCATCACAATGCCCTGAATTCATTAGGGCGCTGCTTGTGGTGCTTCTACATGGAGCACAATGGTTCGTGCTGCAATGTCGCCGCACTTCCTGACTGGCTGTTTTTTTTCAAGGATGCAGGCTTTGACACAAATCCGGTTGTGGGATTTTCCGCAACACCCTTGTTTTGGGTGCGGCCAAGGACCTCGCCCCCGAACGAAGGTCATCAGCAAGGCTTACACGGCGCTTGAGACGGATGGTGTAAAGGCCGAAGAGTGAATCGATTTGTGAGATTTGCGAGTGACTTGCGCACGTGGAATGGTGAGTGCAAGCACTCAGCTGCTAACGACAGGCGCAAGATACCACATGCCAGCACCCGGTCAGTTTGGCAGGTTGGGTGAAGCTCGTCCTGAATCCATGACATGCGTTGCTGTTGCCGATGTTTGTTTGTCGTGTACTGCTACAATGTTGATTTGGTGCCCTGGTGTGGAGAAAACAGCAGGGAAGATAGAGAATCGTTGCGGCCTTTCATGCTTGCTGTGTGTTTCCCCTTGATTGCTCTCTTCAACTCCACTTCAGTCATTCTGTTGGTGGCGCAGTAATGCTGGCATCACCAGCACCACCAGCCACCAGCACCACCAGCACCACCAGCACCATCCGCATCAACCGCATTATTAGTGTCACCTGCATCACCCATCACCAACATGACCAGCATCATTAACATCACTCGCATCAACAGCGCCACTAATCTGCATCACCACCATTACAAGCATCACCAGCAGAGTATCCTTGTTTTGATTTTTGGTCGGGTGCAAACCCTGCATGCAACAGCCCCAGCCCACAAGAATCCCGAACTTAAAAAATGCACACACTGCAAGCAAAGCCCCTTCCAGCCTGCGTGCAGATGCACACAGCTAGCATCACCCACACCAGGAGGTTCGAGCAACCTATCTTTTTTGTTCTTCCCTCAAGCCCTTCATGCTGTGCATTGAGGAGCTTGATTGATCTTGAGCGCTACCAAAAGGTGGGCCCACGTGCCCTGGCATTCCGTTGGACTTACCCCAGTGTTGGAGTTTGGAGAAGGGGCGAGGTCAGATTCGCTAAGAGTAATTGCCATCTCGCAAATCCTGAGGCCAAGCTGTGCGAGAACATCGATGCGGCGGTCAGCTGGTGAAGGGAAAGAGGTGCAAGAGCTTGACGGATATCCGAGGCCTCGGGCAGTGCTTGGGGGCTGAGCTAGCTTGGCGCCATGAAGGTTGGCACTTCGCACAGTATTGGCCACACCTGAAGGGGCACTCGGAGTTGTATTGTATGCTGCTCGTCAGACGTTTCAAGCAATGCGCAGGCTGTGGAGGTATGCGGCATTGGGAGTATGCCTTGGAGTGCGTGATCTGCAACCGGCCTGACCTGCGTCTGATGCCCCAGAGCCCACGGCAGGGAGAGGGAAGCCTCGTGATTGTTGACTTCACCACCTCTTGTCGTGGGGCTTAGGGTTTAGGGTGTGCACTTGAGGATTGAAACAGCCGCACAGGCCTCTAACTGGAAACCCCCAACATTAAACTGAAATCTATATCGGCTAAGGCCAGGCGCAGCTGATGCAGCCAGAACTTGCCTGGGTTCAGAAGGCACTTCCGCCAAGCCTTGCTGATCAGCTTCCCATAGCCACCTTCAGAACACTTGGGTTTGACAGGGCCGAACACGACTACAAGGTTTGCCAACGAGGGAACCCAAGATCAGCTCCGAAAAGGAGCTTGCCCACGGCACAACTTTGGATGTGTGGAATGCCAAAGAGACCTTATGATTTTGATGGTGGCTCATTTGATGGGTACTTTAAAGCAGATCAGAACGGAGACCACGGAACCCCAAGTTTGAAGTCCCAACACGTTCAAGGTGAACTAAGGCTAATAAGGCCATTTGGTGCCTCAAGTGCGGCGAGGCGCCTATTACTTGCTTTCGCTCTGACATGGCAGATATGGTGGACGCCATGAGGGCGATTGAGCCGCTCGGCAAACAACTAGAAAGTCTGATTCACTTGAATGCATTTGGGAACGTGTCGGAAGTTCTTGCGTACCCCACGAGCTTACATATTTAGTGGGTTGCAATGACAAACATGCAACCAGTAGGGTCTGGGAAGGGAATGTCAGGTCAAGGAACTGGCGGGTCAGCTTGGTCCTCGATAGGGGGGCTGCTTAATATGCCACGACAGCTTGCCCCTAATCTTCGGAAGTGCAAAGGAATCCTGTTCAATCATCTGAGGAATGGCTCCATGATCCCTGTGCCAGGGATGGACTTTTCCTCTGAACTTCCCGGATGATCAGTGAAACAGGCGCACACACGAGAGTGCATGTGTGGCAAGACTCATCGCTGCTGAACTTTAATCAAGTACAGTTAAGTTTGCAGGAAGTGGACAACTGGCTATTTTTGGTAGTCAAGCCTGCAACACGCGGATTGAATGCTTGCCACGCTCTTAGTACATAGCTCTGTCACTGGCAATGCGGCTGTGCTTTGCACCGCCCTTGGTCCAGTGCAATAGTGCCAAGTCAGCAAGACAATGTCCACACGGCCATACAGCAGTATACGGTTCTTTTTTGCCCTCGTTGTTTCTTCAGGAGTGCCAGTAAGTGTTGGTCGTGAGCCCGCATATCTGCTTTGGCTTGTGCAGAAGGATCTTCCCTTTGCGTGTCGACATTGATTCAGGGAAAAGCGCAGGGCTGCAGGCAACTGCAGCACGAAGAATTGATAACACAGTAGAGCAAATGACATCAAGGCTTACCGACCTCTTTCTGAGTCTGGCATAGGATGGCAACGCTAGTTCGACATGAGTTGAACATTTGCAGGCTTGTTCTTCCCGCATCAAAGCACATAGTGTCAGAAGCGCTGGTTTTCGACCCATTCATTCTATTTTCAGAAGAAGCCGTGGGCGACCTGGGCAATGTTGCGCATTCAGCTTTGCAGCTTCATCCCGGAGCTCTTTCCTTTCAGATTTGAAACATGAGAGTCTCGAACAAAAAAGAACATGCAACACATGTTTGAATGCCTACTCGTATTACATCTTTCCCTTTCATTTGTGTGCACAACTTACGGCCGTGTTCAGTGCACCGTACATGTTTCACTGGAGGAATCACTTCGCGGTATGTTGTTCAGGCCTTCAGGAAACTAAAAAAGCCTCGGCCTCGCGCCATGGCCCGTTGCGAACCAGGCCCTGCGTTCGCCTGCTGTGTGTTTTGAGATTCGGGTGTGACTCAGATGGCGGGCGTGCTGGGCTCCTGGCTGCACGGCGCTCCCAGGGGCGTGGCCCAGAAGCACAGAAGCCCAAGCCCTGCCATGGGTTGACGGCCTGCTCAGGAGTGGCATCCTCACGCCTGGAAGCTGGACCAGGCCGACACTGAGGATTTGGACGGCAAGACCCCAATCGATGCGCCGAGGTCAACGGAACTCGGTGCAGATTTCCGAGGACCCGCAAGGCCGGAGCAGCTTTGAAACACGAGGCAGGCCCGGTCCAGCCTCGCACCGTTTCCAGGGTCGCCAGATCTACGACCCCTGCGGTGCGGCGCCCAACAACAATCTTCATCGAGTCCTCGGATTCTTTACAGGCTCGGCTCGAGGAATTCGGGTTGACTTGGACGTCACGCGTCGCAGGATTCTTCAACTTGACACTGGACATTCAGACACTCTCCTTCCGGCTCTCCAGCGCGGCCGAGGTCCTGGTCTTCCGCCCGGCCTGGCTGGGCCTTGGATGTGCCGGACCGGAAGACGTGCATGACTCCGAGTTCCTGGGAGGCACTTCGCAGTGAAATGTGTGGAAGGCGTTGAATCACGATGCTGCACTCGGAGGCTATCCGGTTCGTCTGGTTCAGCAAGGGCGATACTTGCACCACTGGCTGATCGTAAATGCCACCTGCTCCTCAGCCTCACTTGTTGAGATAGGATGCGCATTTTCTGCTTTGTTCAATTCACTTTTGCGGTTTTGCTCTTGTGTTGTTGTTTTGCGGAGGCGGCACTAAGACAGCTTCCATCGAGCTGCGGGTCTGGCCGCGCTGCGTGGAAGTGCACAGCATCGGGGACGAGCCCGGCTTTTGGGCGACCTTTCTGGAGGCAGGGGTCCTCCCTGGTACTGCGCTGGTTGGCTGCCGTTCAGGACAGTTGGGGCCGCACCACGCAGCCCTCTGCTGGCTATGCAGGGCTCAGCTTCTGCTGCTCCGGGTCCAGGCATGTGGCAGAGACACCCTTTGGAGGACGCGTTGAGCGCAGAACTGCGCATTGGAGGTGTCATTTCGCGAAGTTGTCCATCCCGTCAGACTGCTGTCCGCTGCCTGGCTGGAGTTTCTGGGAATGTCAGCATGATCCTGGGGCCACTGCTGCAAGGCTTGGCGAGTCTCAATGTGGCTGGGGCCCGTCCGCAGTGTGCTCGGCGCCGCTGAACCTGACGCTTGGCTGAGTGCTGCGAGCAAGCATGGCACCTTCTGTGCAAACATGTGCACATGGAGGGAGCCTTTTTTTCCATGGTTCTTGTATTTGACAAGACTTGCTCCTGCATTGACACAAGCTGAAGGACAATGCAGATGCAGCCTCCGCCAGCTGTGCGCAACATAGATATACCAGGCTGTTGGAAGAGATGCCTTGCCTTGCCCTTCCCCGATGTTCCAGCTCCAGGGCTTCGACCTGTGTGGGGCGATGGCCATGCCTGGCGTGTGCTGCTCGAGAGCGGCACGGACGCCTTTCAGAATGACGCCTTCGAGGCGACTCGATGCTTCGACGTGATGCGCTTGCAGTCACAATGGATGCAGGTTGTCATGGAGAATCCCCTGGATGAAGCCGTCGACTACAGAATCGTTTTTCACTACGCGGCGCCAAAGAAGATTACAGGCCCAAGTGAGCCCTGGGATCGGCAGGCACAAATGGAATATCTGGCATTGCTGCAGGCGTGGCTGCCGTGCTGCGCCTCAATCAGCGCCCTTCCGGCCAGCACCTGCAGCTGAGTTCTTTGGCCAAATTGGTTGGTCTGGACCACTACATGGACCGCATAATCGGTCGAGAAAACAGTCGGCTTTGTAAGTACATCGCTCCCTGATCCAGGCTGGTGTGAGGGCAATATCTCTTGTTGCATGGTCAGGCAAGAACTGGCACACCAACGACTGCTTTTGGGGGCGAATCCGCTACGATGGAACGTGGTTCTCCGCAATAGTCGGCTCCTTACATTTCAGCCGAAGCTATTCTGTTGAGCGCTATTGCTCGTGCAGGCAGAGCTACGACTGCCGGCGGGCGCTCATATCCAGGCGGAGCTTGTGGTGCTGGCCTCACCCAAAACTTGAAGCTGGGAAGTCGAGACGAAAGATAAAACTCAGCAGCTGTTTGCGCACATCACCAAGGTTTGGCAGCTTGCACTGAAGGGCTCTCATGCCTTGGCTTTTGCCTCCGCAAAGGTTGCGTACCAGTTCTTCGGAGAGCTCCACACCGTCTCCCATGCGCAACTCTCGCTGATAGGCAGTATTGCTCACAGCATGCGCTCGCGTGCACGCCGCCTTGTTGCCAGCCGCACATGTAGCATACTTCCGTTGCTAATCATGGCATGCGACATGCTCTAGCTTTTTTCTGGTGTCATGACCTGCAGTGGGAGCGCATGTTTCGAAGATAGGTGCAGAATCCTTTTGGTGAGATGCCGTGGCCAACCAGTGTGACACAATACGACGCTCTCCTGAAGCGCCATTTGCTTGCAGATACTGCCACAAATGCACACTGCAGCGACCGCTAAGATCACGTGGCTCTGCTGCCTGCATTGCAATGCAGCAGATGCACAACCAAACACGCGCACCAGAATCAACATATCTACATATATTATATGGCATATATGCACTATTGTCATTATCTACTATTATAACTAACTTATAACGTATTATTGTTATTCTGTCTTTATTATTTTGTTTTATATGTATTTCACGTATTTCGCTCTTTGGTTTGTTTATTCATTTATCTATCTATCTATCTATCTATCTATCTATCTATCTATCTATCTATCTATCTATCTATGTATTACTTACTTACTTATCTGTTCGTTTTCCGAAAGAGAGAAGACTGCTGGAGGCTCATGTAAACGCGCGTATGTACTGCTTCCTCCCAGGCCTGCACCTAGTTTCCGGGTCCCATGTAGTTTTAAGCGCAGAACGCCATGTGGCCCAAGTGAGTGCAATTAGTTGCCCTGAAGCGACCCTAATACATTTTGAGCCCGCCCAAAGCCCACCTTCAACCACCCCTAAGCTTGCTCTAGACTCAAAGCCAACCCAACCGATTCCATCCTAAACAAGATCAAAGCCATCTCGTCCCCTAAACGAATCCTTCACAAGTACTTCACCTTCAACCAACCATCCTCTGCGAAAGTACGGGCAGCATACCCTTGAGAATCGTTCCGCGAGAAAGCGGACATACAAATACAAGCAAGGACGTTATCCTGAATCAGTTCACAAGTCAACAGGACACACCAGGTCAACAAGCTTGTTCTACCGAGCTACCTTTTGTTTCACTGTTTTCTCAAGCATTGCCTCTGATTGTATCGTTCCTGCCATTGCCTGTGCGCCCATGCTCTTGCATGACATGGCATGTTCCAAGCACTTGCAGCGGCATAGACTCGTTGCACCTGACTCCTGGCAGAGCGCAGGCTGGGCAGGCTCCAATGGTTTGTGGGAGGAGGTGGGCCTGGGAGCAGAGGGCGAGTCCATCACTTACGAGCCAAACTTGCCACCTGGCCAAGTGGCGGAAAAGCCTTCGCCAGCTCGTCAGCCTGCTAGCCCAGGCAGCAGAGGCGAGCCATGGTCCTGGACACGCGACCCTTTCTGGTGTGTGCCATGGACATTCCCGACTGCGCATGTCACAAGGTCGGAGTCTCGAGCCTTTTGCAGACCACAAGTGGGGCGCGGGAAGGTACATGATGTTGTCTCTAAATGAGGGCATCCCAAAATGAGTGTTTGTCCAATTTTGAACAGCAAGACGTGCCTACATGTTGACTGGCCTGTCCGTAATTTCCACTATGAGATTCAAGCAGCCAGCCAGAATCCAGTCGTCACAGCAGTTTTGCAGCAAGTTTGCGCAGCTGATGGTAGGAGACGAATGCCAGCGGCGCCTTTGCAGAGATGCGCTGCCAGATGACACAGGCCGCGCGATCAGTACTTAGCTTTGGACGCGAGTTGGTTCCAGGCCGAAGGCTGCCGAGGAGATGTCAACGTGACAGGGTGGACAGAGAACTCTGGTGGCTCTGACGCCTGGTTGCACTTGGGAAGGCTTGGGTGTGCAATCCATGGCACCATGGATTTGATTCAGACCCAAGGACTTCTTGGTAGCGATCAACGAGGAAGGGCATCATGCTTAGCCGGTGGACAGGGAGAGAGAAGCACAGCTGGATCAGCAGAACTAGATTCGAAAGGCGCTTCTCAAACAATGTACTTGACTCCGTATCATTCATTTGTGCACCAGCGTGGTCAAACAAAGCAGGTGTTGAGGTTTCATAGTTCCGCGCAAGCAACAGAAGCCGGCCATAAAATAGTGTGCAGACTGGCAGAGGTCCTACCAGTACCTTACGAACGTCACGGCGAGGCATACCTCCAATGGCCCACTCCTCACCAACGCAAGCTATCTTGGGGTCACAGCCGATGGCGCCGTGCTCGTGGAGCGAACAGTCAGCACCTGGGCAACCAACGACCTGGCGCGGCACTTGCACAGCTTTACGTACCAAGTGCTGAGGAGCTGGAGCTGTGTGGTTGGGGAGGGTCTTCTCGCTGGTTTCCTTGGAGACCAGTTTGGAAGTTCATGTTTCCATCGATACGCCCTCGTCGTTTTTACCCAGAGGAATGTGAGCTACGCGCGGCTCGCCCTGTACGTCCTGGGTGCGGACTGGTACAACTTCGTGGCGGACCCCGGCTTTGCGCACGGTGATGCCCACGGACTGAAAGGCACGGCCATGCCGCTCGGTGAAGACATGGATGCGACGGGGAAAGAAGAGAGAAGGGAGCAGTTGGAATTTGTCAACGTTCGGGAACCAAGCAAAACTCTGCAGCGCTTGGCTACGTCCAGTTGAATTTGTAAAACAACAGCGATGTCTCAGTCCAGATAGCCAGTGGGCCTAGAGCGAGAACGCTTAGGAACCTTTCCTCTCAGCTGGAGCGCTTTGAATACTCCAAGCTCCACCAGAAGGTGCCATGCCTCTTGACAGATACTGGGTGATGACGACAGGCGGGTGTGTCCTCATGTGGAGTTGGTGCCCCTTTTTGGTTGGTGTTGAAGAGACACCACCAGGACAACCACTCATTTCAGGCTTCAGCCTTTGATCCCAGGACCTCCCGCCAAACTGAGGCGGGGACCTGCCCTGCTGGTTTGCACTGCTCGACCCTTCACAGGCAAGGGGGCTATCCCAAGGCAAACGGAAACAGGAGCCAGCCCGCGTGCCGGTTTTTGTGTTGTTTCTGAAAGTCATGTCGCCAAATGTGTCTGATTGAAGTCCACTTGCCTTGCTTCTTGATGGTGCTTGGTTGTTTGATCGGCTTGGTCTAGATGGATGTCCAGCGATTTCAGCTATGCGGGATGGGGGGCACCCGACTCTTCCCTTCAACTCTCATTGTTTTCCCTAAATTTCCTTCAATTCCCCGCATGCCTTCTCCATTTGATTGGTTATATTCTATACACAGAATTACACAACATATAGATACCGTTTCCCTCACCCTTGAGAGAGAGAGAGAGAGAGAGAGAGAGAGAGCTCTTGTGTTTCAGGCACGCCACGTGCACCGCGGCCTGGTGCTGCGGCGTTTCGAGGCGCGGCAAGGAGGCGGATGGGACTCCGGGACTCCGGGCCGGCAGTCGCTTGGGTCAGGGAGGTGAGGCTCTCGGAAAGGCTCTCGAATGGGTCAGAAAGTGCGGGTCAAACCAGGCATGAGGGGATCAAGCTGCGTGAGAGCATCAAACTTGAGAAACATGAAGGAAGCGTCAAGCATCCGGGAGGGAAGCACCAGAGACAAAAGACAGGAAGAAGGGATGCTGTCGCTGATATGCTCTGAGCCTGACTGCTTGCTAAGAACATCATGTCATATTTGGCCTAGAATTTCATAACTTCGACTGGTTACATCCACTCAGCAACGGCCTTCTTGGTGATTCAGTGAGAGAAGAACATTCAAACTTTGCAGGTGGCTGGAGCGGCAATTTGTCCAGTGACCAAATTTCAGAAGCGGTGTTCTCCTTGCTGGGAGCAGACAACTACGGCGAGCGGACCTTGGGTTTGGAGCTGGGCCTTGCTGACATGCAGCTCCAGGCCGGATGCACTTGGAACGACTACCTCTTCCGTATGACCAGTGGATGTTTGTCAATGTGAGAATCTCTGAGAAACGGAAGAACAGACCTTTACACAGAGGCATTGAAGGGGGATCATGTCCTTTGCGTACTGAAGCCCCGACTCTGCCAAAGGGTCAATGGAGATTTGACAGGCCGGCGATGTCATCTCCGGCGACGTGGAGCTGCTTTTGTACCCCAAGAGCGCGCAGGCTGGACTTCGTACAGTAGATCGCGGATTTGTTCCTCTCATGAAATGTCATGCAGCAAGCAAACCGTGGCCATGTTGGCCAGGTAAGATTTCTTCTCTTTTTGGTGCCTGATGTGCCAAAATACGCTCAGTTGTGGCGGAGCACGCAGGTGCACTATGGGCACAACTTGCACCTTGGTGGCCCACCCTGGCAGCTCGTCGCTGAGGCCCGTGACCCGAAGGCAAGGCGATGCCTGCGCGTCCGAGTTTTTGCGCAGAACGACCGACGCGCAGGTCGTGATGGCAGAGGGCCACTTACAGCGGCTCTATTTCCCGCGAGTAGCCGTCAATGCTGCAGGCACTGGGGGAGTCATCACAACATGTTCCATGGAGCGATCACGCCTTCTGCGAGGGCTTTTTGTTGACATGACAACAACAAGAACAACGACACAGTAGCATATTTTAACGCCTCCGGCTCAGGCCGCCGACATTACAGGCCTGCTTTCTTATTTGCGTCCCTTTGGAATTGTCCCCTTGCCCCCTTCCCCTCTGAGATTTTTGCCCCCCTTTCTTTGTTGAGATCCATTCCCCCTTTCCGCCCTAAGGCCTTTTCTCCCTCTGATTTTTTCCCTTTTCCTCCCTAAGATGTTTTCCCCCCTCTCCCTGTTGAGAGCTTCTCCCTTTTCCTTCCTTAGATCTTTCCCCCCTTTCCCTGTTGGCCTTTTTTCCCGCAGATCTTCTCCCTTTCCTCCCTAAGATCTTTTCCACCCCTTTCCCTGTTGAGATCATTTCTCCCCTTTCCCCCCTACGGCCTTTGCCCCCAGATCTTCTCCCTTTCCTCCCTAAGATCTTTCCCCCCCTTTCCCTGCTCAGATCCTTTCCCCCCTTTCCCCCCTAAGGCCTTTCCCCCCCTGAGATCTTCTCCCTTTTCCTCCCTAAGATCTTTTGCCACCTTTCCCTGTTGAGATCCATTCCCCCTTTCCCCCCTAAGGCCCTTTCTCCCTCTGAGTTTTTCCCTTTTCCTCCCTACGATGTTTTCCCCCCTCTCCCTGTTGAGATCCTTTCCCTCCTTTCCCCCCTAAGGCCTTTTTTCCCCCCGCGATCTTCCCCCTTTTCCTTCCTAAGATCTTTTCCCCCCTTTCCTTGTTGAGATCCTTTCCCGCCCTTTCCCCCCTAAGGCGTTTTCCCCCCCAAGATCTTCTCCCTTTTCCTCCCTAAGATCCTTTGCCCCCTTTCCCTGTTGAGGTCCTTTCCCCCCTTTCCCCCCTAAGGCCTTTCCCCCCCTGAGATCTTCTCCCTTGTCCTCCCCAAGATCTTTTCCCTTGGTTGAGATCCTTTCCCCCTTTCCCCCCGAGATCTTCTCCCTTTTCCTCCCTAGGATCTTCTCCCACCTTTCCCTGTTGAGCTCCTTTCCCCCTTTTCCCCCTAAGGCCTTTTCAGATCTTCTCCCTTTTCCTCCCTAAGATCCTTTGCCCCCTTTCCCTGTTGAGATCCTTTCCCCCTTTCCCCCCTAAGGCCTTTTCCCTGCCTGGGACCTTCTCCCTTGTCCTCCCCAAGATCTTTTCCCTTGGTTGAGATCCTTTCCCGCTTTCCCCCCAAGATCTTCTCCCTTTTCCTCCCTAGGATCCTCTCCCACCTTTCCCTGTTGAGCTCCTTTCCCCCTTTTCCCCCTAAGGCCTTTTCAGATCTTCTGCCTTTTCCTCCCGAAGATCCTTTGCCCCCTTTCCCTGTTGAGATCCTTTCCCCCTTTCCCCCCTAAGGCCTTTTCCCTGCCTGGGATCTTCTCCCTTTCCTCACTGAGATCTTTCCCCCCCTTTCCATGTTGAGATCCTTTCCCTCCTTTCCTTCCTAAGGCCTTTCCCCCCGCTGAGATCTTCTCCCTATTCCTCCTTAAGATCCTTTGCCTCCTTTCCCCGTTGAGATCCTTTCCCCCCTTTCCTTTAAGGCCTTTCCAGATCTTTTCCCTTTTCCTTCCTAAGATTGTTTCCCCCCTTTCCCTGTTGAGATCCTTCCCACCCTTTCCCGCCAAAGGCCTTTCCCCCCTGAGAGCTTCTCCCTTTTCCTTCCTTAGATCTTTCCCCCCTTTCCCTGTTGGCCATTTTTCCCCCAGATCTTCTCCCTTTCCTCCCTAAGATCTTTTTTACCCCCTTCCCTGCTGAGATCCTTTTCCCCCTTTCCCTCCTAAGGCCTTTCCCCCCCCTGAGAGCTTCTCCCTTTTCCTTCCGAAGATCTTTTCCCCCCTTTCCCTGTTAGGCTTTCCCCCCTAAGTCCTTTTCTCCCAGATCGTCTCCTGTTCCTCCCTAAGATCTTTCCCCCCCTTTCCTCCTTAAGATCTTTCCCATCCTTTCCCTGTTGAGATCCTTTCCCCCCTTTCCCTCCCAAGGCCTTTCCCCCCCCTGAGAGCTTCTCCCTTTTCCTTCCTAAAATCTTTTCCCCCCTTTCCCTGTTAAACTTTCCCCGCTAAATCCTTTTCTCCCAGATCTTCTCCCTTTCCTCCCTAAGATCTTCCCCCCCCCCTTTCCTTCCTAAGATTGTTTCCCCCCTTTCCCTGTTGAGATCCTTCCCACCCTTTCCCCCTGAGGCCTTTCCCCCCCTGAGAGCTTCTCCTTCCTTAGATCTTTCCCCCCTGTCGCTGTTGGCCTTTTTTCCCCCAGATCTTCTCCCTTTCCTCCCTAAGATCTTTTCCACCCCTTTCCCTGTTGAGATCATTTCTCCCCTTTCCCCCCTAAGGCCTTTGCCCCCAGATCTTCTCCCTTTCCTCCCTAAGATATTTTCCTCCCTTTCCCTGCTCAGATCCTTTCCTCCCTAAGGCCTTTCCCCCCTGAGATCTTCTCCCTTTTCCTCCCTAAGATCTTTTGCAATTTTTCCCTTTTGAGATCCATTCCCCCATTCCCCCCTAAGGCCTTTTTTCCCCCCGCGATCTTGCCCCTTTTCCTTCCTAAGATCTTTTCCCGCCCTTTTTTTAAGGCGTTTTCCCCCCCAAGATCTTCTCCCTTTTCCTCCCTAAGATCCTTTGCCCCCTTTCCCTGTTGAGATCCTTTCCCCCCTTTCCCCCCTAAGGCCTTTCCCCCCCTGAGATCTTCTCCCTTGTCCTCCCCAAGATCTTTTCCCTTGGTTGAGATCCTTTCCTCCTTTCCCCCCGAGATCTTCTCCCTTTTCCTCCCTAGGATCTTCTCCCACCTTTCCCTGTTGAGCTCCTTTCCCCCTTTTCCCCCTAAGGCCTTTTCAGATCTTCTCCCTTTTCCTCCCTAAGATCCTTTGCCCCCTTTCCCTGTTGAGATCCTTTCCCCCTTTCCCCCCTAAGGCCTTTTCCCTGCCTGGGACCTTCTCCCTTTCCTCACTGAGATCTTTCCCCCCCTTTCCCTGTTGAGATCCTTTACGGCCTTTCCCCCCGCTGAGATCTTCTTCCTATTCCTCCTTAAGATCCTTTGCCCCCTTTCCCTGTTGAGATCCTTTCCCCCCTTCCCTTTCAGGCCTTTCCAGATCTTCTCCCTTTTCCTTCCTAAGATTGTTTCCCCCCTTTCCCTGTTGAGATCCTTCCCACCCTTTCCCCCCTCAGGCCTTTCCCCCCCCCCCCGAAAGCTTCTCCCTTTTCCTTCCTTAGATCTTTCCCCCCTTTCCCTGTTGGCCTTTTTTCGCCCAGATCTTCTCCCTTTCCTCCCTAAGATCTTTTCCACCCCTTTCCCTGTTGAGATCATTTCTCCCCTTTCCCCCCTAAGGCCTTTGTCCCCAGATCTTCTCCCTTTCCTGATCTTTTCCCCCTCCCCCCCCCTTTCCCTGCTGAGATCCTTTTCCCCCTTTCCCCCCTAAGGCCTTTCCCCCCCCTGAGAGCGTCTCCCTTTTCCTTCCTACATCTTTTCCCCCCTTTCCCTGTTGGGCTTTCCCCCCTAAGTCCTTTTCTCCCAGATCTTCTCCCTTTCCTCCCTAAGATCTTTTCCCCCCCTTTCCTCCCTAAGATCTTTCCCACCCTTTCCCTGTTGAGATCCTTTCCCCCCTTTCCCTCCCAAGGCCTTTCCCCCCCTGAGAGCTTCTCCCTTTTCCTTCCTAAGATCTTTTCCCCCCTTTCCCTGTTGGCCTTTTTTCCCCAGATCTTCTCCCTTTCCTCCCTAAGATCTTTTCCACCCCTTTCCCTGTTGAGATCATTTCTCCCCTTTCCCCCCAGATCCTTTCCTCCCTAAGATCTTCCCTCCCCCCCCCCCCCAGTTCCCTGTTGAGATCATTTATTTCCCCCCCTTTTCCTTCTAAGGCCTTTTCCCACCCTCAGTTCTTCTCCCTTTTCCTTCAAAGATCTTTCCCCCCCTTTCCTCCCCAAGTCCTTTTTGCTGAGTTCGTCTCCCTTTGCCTCCCTAAGATCTTTTCCCCCCTTTGCCGCTTAAGATCCTTTCCCCCGTTTCCCCCCTAAGGCCTTTTCCCCCCAAGATCTCCACCCTTCTCTTCCCAAAGTCTTTTTCTCCCTTTCCCGTTTGAGATCCTGTCCCCCCATTGCCCCTTAGGGCCTGTTCCCCCCGAGAAAGATTTCCCTTTTCCTCCCAAAGATCTTTTCCCCCCTTTCCCCCTTAAGGCATTTTTTTTCCAGATCTTCTCCCTTTCCTCCCTGAGATCTTCCCCCCCCTTTCGCTGTTGAGATCCTTTCCCCCTTTCCCCCCTTCATTTCCTTCACCAGCATGGGCAACATCCCCAGCATCACTTGCATCATCCGCATCCTTGGCAGGCGCTGATGCGGATGATGCAGGTGATGCTGGCGATGTGCCGCGGGAGCTGCTAAGGATGCGAAAGCGCACCCGGGGGGAATCGAACACCCCAATGTTTTTGACAAACTGAGTTGCGCAAGCCCGCACAATGAACAGATTTAGTGAAGCGTCTTCGAATCACCGCGTGGTACGTGGACCCCCCCCCCCCCCGCAATAGTCTGAACTGTTAGGGGAGGGTAACAGGTAAAGAGGTAAGGAGCATTTTTTGTGTCCAACACGCCGTCTGTTGTCGGCGGATTTTTGACTGGCGTGTGCCAAACATTGCCCAAACATGTTGAGGCAAAAGCTTTTGAGCTTTTCGACATTTGTCGAGTGGCTGAGACCTACACACCGAAATGCAGGCTACGCAGACTTCAGCTTGGACTTTGACTATCCAGGACTGATCTCAACGGGGGTGTTTTTTTTGGGGTTTCTGTTTTGGGTGGGTTTGAAGGGACACCAAAAGGACGCCGGAATCCAGTTTGGGCCTTCGAGACAATCCCACTTTGGCATCCCTTGCTTGTGACCCCAGGAGTGCTGCCTGTGACCATCGCTGGGGTCAAGGGTTTGCAGGGCTGCCTTTGCGGCGAAAGCGGCGAAGAGCTCGGAGGCCTGCAGGAAGGCCACTGTGAGCTGTTGCCTTGGTAAAATCTTTGATGCATACTCACCGGTTTCGGGGCTCAATATGCATTTTAGGGCCCTTTTCGCATTGCCAAAACTGTTGCTCTGTTGGGAAACTCCCGAGTTTATACCGCAGCTATGCCAGGCGCTTTCCAAGTGGACTTTGTGCCAGAGGAAGGCTACGCCTACACCTACAGCCGCCGCCATAAAACAAGGTGCTTCACTGAAAAAGCAACTCTCTTTGTCTTCATCAGGTCTGCTTCGAGGTGTGGCAAAGCGCTTCCACTTTAAGCCGGACTGCAGGCTGGACGGTGGAGCTGAACAGATTTGATGGAGATGGGGTGGCATTGCTGGACGACTGTTAAACTGTTCTGAAAGCTTTCCGCGGCCGACAGTTCTGTCAGAAGTTGATACATGATATGCCCAAACTGGTCTGACCAATTGAGTAGCCAGTCTGCGCTGCTCTGTTCTGCGGTTATTTGGCTAGGCCGAGCATCGAGGGCACTTGCCAAGCTGAAGGCTGCCGAAAATGTGAGCCCAGCACATTCCATGACCGTACCCTTGATGTGGCTTTGTCAAATAGTGAACATTGTTCATTTTTATGGAGGAAAGATGTTCGAACCACTCATATCTCAACTGAAGGCATTGTTTGAAACAAGTGCCCAGACCGGCAGACAGCAATCATCGATAACCTCGCTTGGCTGGAACGTGCGTGACGCTGCAACTTCCCTCAGAGCTGCACAGACTGCCTTGGCCAGAGCCAAGGCAGAACAGCACCAGGATCGCAATCGCCTCAGGCAGATTTCAGTATCCATCGAGGATCTGGAAAACCGGGCACGGAACGCACTTCTCAAGGGTGTCGAAACACTTGCACGCGAAGCTGCCGAAGCCATTGCGGTACTGGAAGATGAAAAGGCAGCCCTAGAGGCCGCCATCCTCAAATTCGACGAGGATCTCTTGACCCTGACGGACCAGTTGCACCGGGCTCAGGGCAGGCTGCGCGCGCTCAAGCGCGGCGAACGAACCGCAGAAGTCCGACAGCAGATCCAAAAGGCCCAGTCACTCGGCGCCGTTGCAGGCCAGTCCGCTCTTGTCAGGGCCGAGCACCAGCTGGACGACATTCTGCAAGAGCAGGAGCGCAACCAGTTGGCAGACCGGGCTTTCGCGGAGCTCTCGCCCGCAGAAAGACCCGAAGCCGTGATCGAGAAACTCGCCGATGCCGATTGCGGCGATCCGGTCCGCATCCGGGCAAACGATGTTCTTGGCCGGTTGAAAGCCGAACTCCCCCTCCTGATCGAAACTGACAAATGAGAAAGGACAATCCCATGCAGGAAGCACTCGCAAAACACTCCCAGAACTGGATCATCTTCACCTGGGTCAGCTTTGGCATAGCCGCGGTCATGATGGCCCTCGGGATTTACAATCTGGAAGCCAGTTTTTCGGCCAAGGGCTTTTACACCATGGCCGCGATCATGCTGGTGCACACCTCGATCACGCTCACCAAGACGCTGCGCGACCGGGACGAGTCCGAGAAACTTCACCACCGCATTGAAGATGCCAAGACAGAAAAGCTGCTTTTGGACATCAACAGTCCCGAGCAATCCTGATTTCCAACTGTTTTCCGCGGGTGGTTGCCAGCAACCACCCGGATGGAGGTGACCTTGAGCAAGCCATTGATGACTTCAAAGCGGTTCGCACCGCTGTTCTGGACCCAGTTCCTGTCCGCTTTCAACGACAACTTCCTGAAAAACACACTGGTATTTCTGGTGCTGTTTCAGGTCACGTCAACCGGTGCTCAAACAGGTAACACGGGCGCGCTGATTGCTCTCACCGGTGCAATTTTTATTGCGCCATTCCTTTTCCTGTCGGCAATTGGCGGTGAGCTTGCAGACAAGTTCGACAAGTCTCGAATAGCCAGGCTCTCAAAGGGTATTGAAATCGCCGGGGCACTCCTGGCAGCAGCTGGAATGCTGCTTTCATCCCTCCCGTTGCTTTTCGCCGCACTTTTTCTGTTCGGTGCGATGTCGGCGATATTCAGTCCCGTCAAGTACGGTCTGATGCCGGAACACCTCGCAAACTCGGATTTGCCACGGGCAAATGCCTGGGTTGAAACCGGAACCTTTCTGGCGATCCTGGGAGGAACAATTTCGGCCGGCATGATCTTCAGCTCCGGTGCTCCCGCTGCTGCCTTTGCTCCGGTCATGCTTGTGCTGGCCTTAGCCTGCTATGCGACAAGCCGCAGGATTCCATCCGCCCCTGCCGCCGCTCCGGACCTGAAGATCGACTGGAATATCACGACGTCGACCTGGCGCATCCTTGCCAACCTCGCAACGGACAAACGCCTGTTCCGCGTAGCCCTGATGAATGCCTGGTTCTGGCTGATCGGTGCAACGGTACTCGCGTTGCTGCCGCTGATGGTCAAGGATGTCCTTGGCGGGAACGAAACAGCCGTTACCTTTTTCCTGACGGTCTTTGCCGTCTCCATCGGCATAGGTTCCGCGCTGGCCGCCTGGCTGTCCGCGGGGCGCGTGGTGCTGCTGCCGGCCGCTTTTGGAACGGTTTTGCTTGCTGTCTTCTGTTTCGACAGTGCCTGGACCCTTTCGACCCTCTCGGCAACCGGATCTCCGGCAAACCAGTCAGCATTCCTCAAGAGCGACGGTGTGTTTCGCCTGACGATCGATATGGCCGGGCTGGCAATCTCGGGCGCTCTGCTGGTCGTCCCGACCTTCACCGCCCTGCAGACCTGGGCCACGCCGGAGACACGAGCGCGCCGCATAGCAGGAACGAACGCCCTTGGGGCTGCCTTGATGACCCTTGGTGGTCTTGCACTCGCCGGAGCACAAAAATTCGGCGTGTCCATACCGGCAATCATGGCATGTCTTGGCATTCTGAACGCGATGGCAGCCATTATCATGATAAATGTTCTGCCGACAAATCCGCTGCGAGACGCTGTTTCGATCCTCTACCGCGCAATATTCAGGGTCGAGATCAAAGGCATTGAGAACCTTGAAAAAGCCGGTGAAGCCCCAATTCTGGCGTTGAACCACGTGTCCCTCCTGGACGCCGGCCTTGCGCTGACATTGGCTGACAAGACCCCGACCTTTGCAGTCGATTACGAAATCGCCCAGCGCTGGTGGGTTCGTCCGTTCCTGAAACTGGCCAATGCCCTTCCGATCAACCCGGCAAAACCCATGGCAACACGGTCGCTGATCAAGGTGGTGAAGTCCGGTGAACCGATGGTGATCTTTCCAGAGGGCAGACTTACCGTCACCGGATCGCTGATGAAGGTTTATGACGGCGCTGCCATGGTCGCCGACAAGACCGGGGCCATGATCGTTCCGATCCGCATCGACGGCCTCGAAAAAACACCCTTTTCCTATCTGAACCCGAACCAGATCCGCAAACGACTGTTTCCGAAAGTGAGAGTTACCATCATGGAACCGAAACGCCTGGAATTGCCGGAAGACCTGAAAGGCCGGAAGCGCCGCGCCGCGGCAGGAAGCGAACTCTACCAGATCATGTCCGACCTGATGTTCGAAACCAGTCGCGCCGACGACAAGACCATACTGGACGAGGTCTTCAAAACCGCAAAGGAACGCGGATATTCTGAACTCGCTCTTGAAGATCCCCTGTCCGGCAAGTTGAGCTATGGCAAATTGTTGACAGGCATTTCCGTCCTTGGTCGCAAGATCCTGGCTCTAGCAGCCAATCAGGAAACCCTCGGGGTCATGTTGCCGAATGCCAATGGATCCGCGGTCACCGTTCTGGCTACGATGTCCGCGGGCAAGGTACCGGCGATGATCAATTTCACCGCCGGCCTGGAAAACGTGCTGTCCGCCTGCCGAACGGCAAAGGTCGAAATTATACTCTCCTCGCGCACGTTCATTCGCCAGGCCAAACTTGAGGCACTGGTCGAAGGCCTGGAGCCTCATGTCAGGTTCATCTGGCTTGACGAAGTACGCAAGGAAATCAGCCTTCTGGACAAATTGAGGGGCTTGAGCATGCGCAAACGTCCCCTCGTCAGCCGGACCGGCAACGATACCGCCATTATCCTGTTCACCTCCGGTTCGGAGGGAACGCCGAAAGGCGTCGTGCTGACACACAGGAACATTTTGGCCAATGCCAATCAGGCAGCTGCACGGATTGATTTCTCTCCGTCTGACAAGGTCTTCAATGTCCTGCCGATGTTTCACTCCTTCGGCCTGACGGCGGGAACAATTCTGCCCCTGATTTCAGGTGTACCGACCTTTCTCTATCCATCGCCTTTGCACTACCGGATCATTCCGGAGCTGATCTACAGTTCCAACGCAACGATCCTGTTTGGCACCGACACATTCCTGAATGGGTATGCCCGGGTCGCCCATGCCTACGATTTTCGGTCGCTTCGCTATTGTTTCGCCGGCGCTGAACCTGTCAAACCCTCGACACGACAGACCTACATGGAAAAGTTCGGTCTCCGCGTTCTGGAAGGCTATGGAGTCACGGAAACCGCACCGGTCATCGCGATAAACACCCCCATGTTCAACAAACCGGGTACGGTCGGCAAACTGATGCCGGGTATGTCCGCACGCCTTGAACCCGTGCCGGGTGTGGAAACCGGTGGTCGGCTATTTGTCGCAGGGCCCAATATCATGGTCGGATATCTGAAGTCGGACAATCCGGGCGTCGTTGAACCGCTGGTCGATGGCTGGCACGATACGGGAGACATCGTCGAAATAGATGAAGATGGCTACATCACGATCAAGGGCCGTGCAAAGCGCTTTGCCAAGATTGGCGGCGAGATGGTTTCGCTGGCGGCCGTCGAGGCAATCGCTGGGCAGGTCTGGCCCGACCATCTGTCAGCGGTCGCTGCAGTCAAGGACCCACGCAAGGGGGAGAAGCTCATTTTGATCACCGAGTGCCCAACTGCAACGCGATCGGATTTTCTGCAAGCTGCAAAAAAACGCGGCGCGCAGGATCTGATGATCCCGGCAGAAGTCCAGGTGGTGCAGAATGTGCCCGTCCTCGGGTCAGGCAAAATCGACTTTTCAGGCGTCAACAAACTGGTATCTGAAAAACGTTTCGCCGAGCAAGCCGCCTGATCTCGCCGTACTCCGCATCCCGCGCGAACCGCGGGATGCATCCCTGTAACGTCGTTTCCGTTGCGTACGGCCTTGAAGTCCGCACTCTTCCCTATGAAACCAGAACCGCGTCCTTCGCGCTCGCGATTGCGGAAATCAGCCGGTCGACATCTTCATCGGCCGTGGTCCAGTTCGAAACACTTATCCGAAAGCCTTTTTTCCCCTGCCAACCGGCAGGGCCGAACCAGGCTTCACCAGAATTCTGAACGTGGGAGGCAATGTCGGAGCACGCGTCTTCATTTCCTGGAAGCGTTGCGAACACCTGATTGAAATGAACGCTGTGCGGAACCTCAAAACCCAGTGTCTTAAGATCTTCAGAGATTCTGACCGCATGATGGTGAAACCGGGTCACCATTTCACACACACCGCTGCGTCCAAGGGACAAAAGCGCGGCCCAGGTTTCCGCGCCGCGCGCAGACCTGCTGAATTCGGGTGCCCGGTCGGACGGGCCCGGATGCGTCGCCGGCAGATATCCTGCTCCTATTGCCATAGAGGCCTCCATCTCATGTGGATGCCTGCAAAGCGCAATTCCCGCGTCATAAGGTGTGTTCAGCGTTTTGTGTGCGTCGACAACCCAACTGTCGGCAAGCTCGAGACCGTCATACGTATGCCGCAAAGGCTCCAGAAGCCTTGCCCAGAGACCGAATGCACCATCAACGTGAAGCCAGGCGCCAGCTTCCTGGCATCTTGTACCCAGGCCCTTGAGCGGATCGACGGAACCCGTGCAAACATTCCCTGCCTGGGCGAGCACAATCGTTGTGTCATCAAGTTCCGGCAGGTCACATAGCTTCAGGCGGCCCTGATCATCGACATCGACCCACTCGATCGTATCGGTGGCCATGCCTGCCAACCGAACCGATTTCAGGACGGTCGCATGGATCTCCGAGCTCGCAACGATTCTGAGAACAGGTGCGCCCAGAAGGCCCATGCCTCGTTGGTGCCCCTGGCGGCTCAAGAGCGTATCCCGTGCCGTCACCAGAAGCGTTAGATTTGCCATCGTTGCTCCGGTGGTGAAGGCACCGGACGCTTCAGCCGGCAACTGCAGGAGATCGGCGATCCAGGAAAGCGCAATATTTTCCATCTCTAGAACCGATGGCCCCGTCAGTTGATCTGCCACCTGATCCCAGGCTGACAGCATGACGCGCGCGCCGGAAGCCGCCGGCAGGGTCCCGCCGATGACGTAACCGAAATATCGCCCGGCAGCCGACGCAACCGTCCCCTCACCGCCGATCGTTTCCATGAGGTCGAGGACCGCCATTTCGCCTAGTCCCGTTTCCGGCAAACCGGGGTCAAGGTCAGACAGTCTGGATGTATCCGCGTTGACCTGTCGCTTCCCGATTTGCCAGAGGTAAGACGCGCCTCGTTCAGCGCCGCTGGAAAAGGCTTCCGCAAGACGTTCAAGAGAGCTACTTTGCATGCCGGTTCATCCATCTATATCGAGGAGTTTCTATATAGATGAATATCAATATAGATGCGAAGTCAAGTTC